ACTCCACTCATCTGGAAAAGCGGATGGAAACCCAGARTTGGAAGGTTTTTCAGACCCCACTGACTGTGGAAGGACATTGTGGGAAAGGTGTCAGAGGCGTTGCTACATGGTTGGCGGCCTGGAAACCGAACCGCGCGGCCTTCCAACCGACTAGAGGGGGGGCATGTTCTCCCATGGAAAGAAGATGCCGAGCTGGCGTGGTCCAGCTGACGTCACGGCGGACCTTTTCATGGGCGGGCAAGCCCCCTCAGACATGCACTGCCACACAGTACTGCACGCGGACATGTCCTGGTCCAGCGACAGACAAATTTGCTGCACCGCAATCCCATCCCAACTTACCTTTTCGGGAGGGGACCCTCCGGCTTTTCCTTTTCGGGTATGTTTTGCTGTTTCCGGAGCTTTGGAAATACTTTGGCGGTGGGGTCCCATGGAAACCTGCCAAAGTCTTTTTTATTTTATTTTATGAAACGTGCTCCATCTATTGGTGGGGAGCAGCACCTGCTGGAAACCGGGTCCAGCGTCCCATAGATACAACCATATCCTCACAATTTGGCACGAGCTGGCCCAGCGTCCCATGACAAGTACGTTCAGAAAAGTCATCAGAAAATTTCATGACAATAAGACTAGGAGCCTTCCGCCGTCTTTCCACCACTTTTTATGGTCAACCACTTTCCAGCCGCCGAGCAGTGGGGTCCACCTGTGAGGCGCTGCTGCCCAGCCCTCCTTACAGAATTTACCGTACTATTTAACTATAGAGAAAACTAGGGCGCTGTCAGGGTTACAGTTTGAAAATACATTTCAAACTGCCGTTTTGGAGTCCAGTCCCCTCTCAAGTTTACACTGCAGTCCAAACTCCGCGGTCACGTGGCTGTGGCAGGGCAGAGTTTGTAGCTGCAGTCTAGTCATCCACGTCGGAGGGCCAGGYCGTTTTCCGAAAAAGAAAAGAAGAAACAAGAAGAAAAAAAAAAAAAAGAGAAAACTACGGCGCAGTCAGGGTTTGAGTTTGTAATTGCACTTGAGGCAAAAAGGCCGGTAATGCTGAATGTATATGACCTACGTTTCGGGTCCGGTGGGGTCACGTGGGTGCGTGTTGTATTCGCCGGATTGCCTGAAGTGCAATTACAAACTGTTTTGGTGACTGCGCCAAAGTTACCCCAAAAAAAAAAGATAGTGGCCCTGTATCCTTCCATGCTCTACCCAAAGATTCACTCTCTGTTTCCACGACCGATCTCCAAATGTGCAAAACGAGAGTGAATCTTCCCCAGAACATGGAAAGATACAGCTCCATGATTTTTGTCTTCTGTGCAACCGGAATACAGGGGCCCACACGGGCTGACAAAAACGCAGAGGCCCCAGGGGATACACGTGCTGACAAAATCCCAGTTTCTTGTCTTTTTTTTTTGTCTCTTTTTTTTCCTTTCTCAGATTTATAGACCTATGCGTGTCATCCTTGGGGCCTCGTGGTGGTGCATCTTTCCATGTTGTAGCCCAAGATTCACTCTCGTTTTGCATGGCTCCACTACTCTCCACATGTGCAAAACGAGAGCGAATCTTCCTGTAGAACATGGAAAGATGCAGCGCCCTTGATTTCTGTCC